CCCCCCCCCCCCCCCCCCCCCGCCGGTGCGCCTCTGTTGCAGCTACGTCAACCTCAAGAGCAAGGTTCGGCGATGGACATCCTCCTTTGTCTCCATCCGATCGCTGTCGAAACGCCCAGAGAGGGCACCCGAACAACGATTTGGCCACGAGGTGTGCGCAAGTTGAACGGCAAATGCGTTCGATCGTGGTAAAAGTGCCGTGTTTGAACGCGCGATCCCGCAAAGGTCGCGACTGCGTCGGTAGTCGTGACGTGACAGCTCGAGAAATCTACGCTACGAGGGGGCTGAGAACACCAGACAGGTGGCAAAGACGCTTCGTGGCGAATTACCGGGGGCCCCCGTTCGAGCGACAGACCCCGATTTTGCTTCCCTAGCTTATGCCGTTGCATAAGAAGCTTGTGCTATTCGCGCATCGTGTTTGATATTGATCCAAAGTATTTGAACTCACATATATTCAACCTTCATATATCCCGCAAAGAATGGTCATGAAAACGTTTTGTTCCGGGTGTCTCGCTCCCTGTGGTGTGTCTTGCTGTGAGGGCTAGGGGCATTCCTTCGCCCCCCCACCTCCTGCCTCGCCTTCTTCAGCGCGACTGCCCCCAGCCACGCTCACGCTTCGTGGTCCCGGACAGATGGATTCCCCCCCCGTGGACTAACTCCGACCTCTTTTTCGCCTCTTCCACGCACGTTTACAGTTGATTTTACCCGTATCTTGAGCTAGGATTACCGTTCGCGTTCTCTCTCTCTCTCTCTCTCTCTCTCTCTCTCTCTCTCTGTCTGTCTGTCTGCCTCCCCGCTGTCCTATCTCTCCCGTCCTCCCCCTTCCCAAACAGCGGCTGCCGCCGTGGTATGTGCTTCTGAAGGTCTGCTTGCCGTCCGCCCTGGGGCTAATCAAGGAGCCCGAACTTTTGCAACAATTGTACAGCAGGAAGGCCGCGGAAACCAGCAAGAGGGTGAGGTCGCTTGTCACGACAAAACGGCTCAAGTCGATTGTGGATATGACCTGAATGATGAACTCTTCTGGTGTGATGTTAGCCTGAGCGAAGCCAGGTCGATGATGCTGCTGTTGCCGCTCCATCCTCCGGAGTACGTGTTTTGGGTTCGGCAACGCTACCGCCCACCCACCTCCCTCAAAACAACAAGCACGCACTTGTTTTTCGCCTTCGGTGCCTTGTGCGAAGTTCACGAAATAGTGTGGATATCGGGTGGAAAAGAGGCGATAGGGCGAGCTGTCTAGCCTGCGTCTTTTTCGAGCTCTCACTAAATAAATACGATATGATCATACTAATCTCTCTGTTGTATGTGGTGGCAGCACAGCAAGGACCTGCGTTTGCTGCGCTTCGACCGTGTCATACTCGAGAAGGTCCTTCGTAGGCATGCGTTCCATTCACGAACATTGTTCGTTGCTACATTTTAACTCATCAAAGGCAATAGTTTGGCAGGATGTACAACTTGGAAAACGACGGGTGGGTGTCGAATAGAGGTAAGCATTGTTTGGTGAAGAAAAGCCGGGTTTCTTCAAGGCAAAACTTGTCCTTGCTTCTGCTGCTGCTGTTGGTGCTAGAAGGATTCGTGCTTACTTGTGAGCCGTGGGAGCCGTTGTTATGCTCGGCGCCTGGTTCATATCCATGGAAGTTACCAACGCCAGACAGATGGATACCTTTGATTCCTGTAGTCACGGAAGCTTAGTGAAATCCCTACTAGGCAGCGCGAATAACAGAACGTATCCCAGTTTCGCCTTGGAATTTCCTTGTGTTTTCGTTACCATCACTAATCTATTGCTCATTTTCGCACAGTCTGGGCTAATATGTAGTGCATGTTTGAGAACCGATAACAACGCTTGGGTAGCATCAAGGTTCCCCCGGAACGAGGCACCATACCGACAGAGCTCAATCTAGCAAATCTGCTGCCGTCTATGTTGGGGGGTTCTTCTCTAACAGTCGGGAACAGACCGGGGCACCAAAGCACCGTCAGTTGTCGTTGAACACGCATCGAATCTTCCGTATTTTTCGCGTATGCGATCGCGTGTTTCTCGCTGAGGGGGGTGACGCCATCTCGATGTGGTGTACAAATACGAAAATTTTGCGTAATACGTCTTGTTCTTGTTGAGTGCACGAACATCACATTTGTGTTTCGGATTTCATGTGAAGTGTTCCTGCTGCGTGTGCGGGAGCACGTCTTGCCAAGGCCAGTCGACGCTTTATCGATTTGGGGCACTAGTCTAGTGACAATATGGTGGGGTTCAGAGCGCAATGCCTGTTCCTATGAATGAAGTCGACTGGATTGTAGGTATTCGGAGAACACTTATGATAGTTCTGTGCTTTGATCGGCATGATCTGACTTTCGATATATATATTTTTGAAGAATCACATGCACGTCCTCGCCGATACCACTTTCGGACAGCACGCCGCTCCGCAGAAGGGCAGAAGCAAGGTCGGGGCGAAGAAGAGCAATAAAAAGGCCAGGGGGGCACCTGTGGCTGGCGGTATCCAGAGCAGGGAAGGCGTTTCGAGTGAAGCCTCCACCTAGTCCGGCCGGGCTCCCCGAAGCCAGCAAGGCTGAGATAGCGGAAAAGCGTTGCCACCAGCAATTGCTAGACATTTGTATTTGTGTCTTTGTACTGTTTTTTATCAGTCACTCGTAACGGCCTCTACTCATACGACACGCGATGTTTCCGAGGCACAACCGGTCGTGGGGTTATGCGTTGTTTCGGTCGAACCTTTTGGTGTGGTGTTGTTTTGTTAAAAACTATGCATACATGGGCGGAACAACTCTGACTCGAAATCTGGATACCTGCAATATCTGAAGATTTTGTGCCGGCTGGCACACCAATCCTTCAGTATGCAGTCTAGGAACACTGAAACAGACTCAACGTTTGCCCAGTACAATTATCCAGAAGGTTTCTTTGCTCACTTGCACTGTCGAGACTTCATCACACATCCCTCGAGTGGGCAATATCTCGAACGGGTATCCGCAGCCTTACTGTGATCGAATGCATACTCTCTACTTGTACATGCACCCGTTCGAGAGTCCAAGAGACAGCAACGATCCTGTTCGAAGCGACCCCTTCGTTCTTACAGTAAGGGTTGACGGGGAAGTTTTCATTTTGCGTAACTCAACTGATACATTCAGAATTGCACCGACAACCTCGCAACACACATGGCTGGCCAAGGGGATCACCGCCAACCTCATGTCTTACTTTTGGTACTAGTCTAGTCTTGATTGCGACAATTAGTTGTCACAGCTTGTTGGTCAGGTTGAGCAACCAACGAACGAAACACATGGGATAGACTGGTCGTTGTAGGTCTCCCACACTTTCTACAGTTTTCCCACACGACCCATGGGACACCCATAGGTCACCCATGGGCCGCCCATGGGCTTCCCATGCGTGACCCATGGGCAAGAAAAAGCCCTTGGGTGACCCATGGGCATGACCATGCCCATGGGTATGGGCATACCCACGGGCAGCCCATGTGGGCCGCCCACGGGTGGCTAATGAGAACCCTTCAACTGACCAGTGTACTCCTTAACAATAGACTATCTGCTTTGGAACGGGCACTACAATGGCTAATAACCCTAAAGCTAACCCTATCCCTAACCCCCTACACGATACGTGCTAGGTTGGCGCTGATGGCTAAGTTCTAGATTGATGTGAAGGTGACAAAGTTCTAGGTTGATATTTTTATGCCGGTGGCGGAGTTCTAGATTAAGGTAGGTGCCCACGCTGGGCACTTCATGGGCTGCCCATGGGTCACGCCCATGGGCAACCCACGCATAGCCCATGAAGCGCCCATGAAGAGAAAGATGTCGGTTGTCAGGGTTTGACCCCCTTGACAGACGTGTCAAGGACGAACGCCCACACTAACACTAGTAGTTCCCAAAACGACGCCCTTGACAAGCCTGTCAGCCCCTGTCAACCGACATTCTTTGATGAAGAGCCCATCGGTGATCCATGGGTCGTTTCGGAAAACTGTAAGTAGCGTGGGAGATTGGTCCTTGTTGGCACTTCAAAACATTGCCCATGGTCGACGGTGATGAAATTGATTTCTGCTGTTGTAGTGTTGTTGTTGATGTGTCCTCTACATTCATGGGGCAATCCTGCTGACCGTGATATAGTAGCACTGCGAAGGTGCACCGATTTTGGTAAATGCCAATCGACGGATCCGGTCCTCATGAACAGTATCTCATTTGCCCTCCTCCTCAGCGGCAAAGACAGCGCGCATTTTTTGCGTGGTCAGCACAAGGGTCAACGTGAAAAGAAATTCAAGACACATTGGCCCACAAATCGAAAAACGGGATCCATGTCGGAAGGGGGG